CGTGGCCTTTGGAAACAACAAACCCTTCCACAGGAGAAATGAGGCCGAGCCAATCACGAACAAGCACGGCGACACCTCCTGAGGTGTCGGAGTCGGTCTCACAGGCGGGACACCAGAGAGACTTCCAACCATTTCGAACACACCACTGAGAAGCCGCGTAAATCTTCTCGGCGTGGAGCAGCCGATGCTCCTGCACCAACGCGACGTTGGCAGGCGTGTCCGGCAAAAGCTTCTTGAGCGTGCCCCACGAGTCCACGTTCATACTGCGAATCAACAGTTGCACCGAGCTCAGCCCGTCAGACCCCTGGACCTGGCCAGGAGAGGGAGGAGTGAGGCACGGAAGAGGAGGGGGAGAGGTCCTGGGGCCAGGCACCATCTCCACAGGGCTACCCGCGCCTGGAAAGCCCAGGGCGGGGCAAAAAGGTGATCTGTGTCCAAAACTGGCCAGCTTACAAGGGGGGTCAACTGGCAGGGAAGTGTGGGCCGTCCGTCCTCCATTCAAAATTCGCGCAGCCCTCCAGAGCGTGTGACGCGCGGCCGCTAACAAGCCACGGAACCGACTTGTAGGCCGCGACGCGCCGTCCATGTCAGGAGGGGGGCGACGGGAGAACGGCCGATAGGCCACATAATAAGAGTTAGACTTATCTGCACACAAAAGAGCAGGGTTCGCGGCGGCCCTGCTCTTCTCAAGGCCGTTTTTCAACACCGCTACGGGCGCGACGCGGGGGCGAGAGGGGGACGCCGCCTCAGGGCCCTCCGAGTGATGGGGCTCGCGAGGAGGATTCCAAACGCAGGTGGGGCCAGCAAGGCCCTGGTCCGACAGAAAAGGAAAGCTGGCAGCTGGGCCTGGCGAGGCTGTCAGGTCAGCATGTCCAGAACGACGCTGAGGAGCATGAGGTTGCTGAAATCGCATCCCCCCTTCACGCCGTTGCGCCTGAAGGGGGGGGGGGGGGCTCGTGGAAGCGCGCGGCGAGCTCGGGCGCGGACATCCTCGGCATCAGCATGGTCCGCGGTCGCGGCTCCAGGAGCAGCAGCTGGCTGCCCAGCAGGCTCACCACCACCTGCGGGGGCACCAGGCGCCGACTCGGGTTCAGCAGCACCTTTGCCGTCACCGTCAGCTGCTGGTGCATCTTTTGCCGCTGCATCTCCTTCACCTCCTTCAGCGACACGACGACGCTTGCCTGCCAGGCGCTCCAACTGCTTCTTCTGCTCCTCGCGAAACTTGGCTGCCTGCTCAGCAGCTGCTCCAAATAGCTGCTGAACTTGCTGAGCAATCGACTGCTGCAACGTCTTGAGCCGCATCTCTGCCTCTTTCTTGTCCTCAGGTGAGAGGTCGTACTCAGCCTCGGGTGCCAGCAGCGAGTCCAAATTGATGGGCAGCTCTTTGCCCTGGAGAATGTCCTCGATAGGGATCGAAGGTGTTGATGCTTGCTGTTCTTCAGCAGCTTCGCCACCCACATGCTCGGCCAGCTGCTGAACGAGACCTTTGTGACGTAGTTCAGCCTTGGAAAGTTCCTCCGTGAACGACTGCACCACAATGCGCTGGGCGTCCAGGTCTTTCTGGAGCCTCTCGAAGTACGTGACTGCTTTGCTGAGCTTGCCTTCCAGGGCACGCATGTCGTGGAAGGCCTTGCCCACCTGCTGCCGGAAGGGGGGGCTCGACCTTCTGCACCGCGTGCTTGGAGTTCAGGATCTTCTGGTACTTGGCAACGCCGTCGGAGTCGCCCACTGAGCGCATGTAGGCGATGACCTCGCTGAGCTTGGCCGACTCCACCATGGCTCCTCCAGGGCGCGGGAGAGACCCTCCTGACTGCTGGAACAACGGGCCTGGCTGCACAGGAAGCGTGCCAGACCAAGAACCAGGAGGAGGCTGAGCACTCTGAGGCCCTGCTTGCTGCGACTGTCCTTGCCAGACCCCCTGCGGCGAGGGAAGCGTGTCGAAGGACGGCGAGCTGCGCCAGGACCAGCAGTGCTTGCACTGCTGCCACTGCTGCTTGTTCTTCTTGCATCCGCACTGCGAGCACTTCCACGATGACGGAGTGTTCCCACGGTGCTGATAGAACGAGCGATCGGGATCTTGCCATGGCCAGCCATCGTTCCAGCGCGCAGTTCGAGAGGCAATCGGGGCCATGCTGGCTCTGGGACGACGGCGGGAATCTTGTCGCCTCGCAAAATTGGCTCGCAGGAGCGCGCGCCCCTTTGAAGAACAGTTCCTGCAACGCTACTCGAGCGCAAAGGGGCTTCCTGCTGCGTACAGTCAGCCCGCATAGTAAGGAAGGGCGACCTTCCCAAGGGTACCCTTGCATCCTTCCCCCTCCGGCCCATCCTTAGCGACTTTCACTGGCCAACCTCGTTTGAAAAAAGGCAACTTGGCCCTCCATGGCCCTTGCATCCTTGCCGCGCATCGTTGTGATACGGGCAAACTGTACCCACCCGGCCCAGCCAGTGACCTCTCGTTGCTGCGCACGGTGCTGCGCGTTCCGCTCGCTTTTCGCATTTACGAGAAGGTGGGGAGCGCTGCTGCTGCCACTCCCGTCTCCATGGAGTCGGCTTCGAGCGCAGCCCGTTTGCATCCGGCGGCGCTCCTTGTCTCGCCTTCCGCCCTCGTCCTCGCCGCAGAGCAGCGGCATCGGAGACACGCGTCCCCCCAAGGGGATTGTCACTCTGTCACTCCTCCTCCTACTCCTTGTCCTCCTCTTCCTTCTCTCTCCATCTCTCCATCTCTCCATCTCTCCATCTCTCTCCCTCCCCCTCCCTCGCTCCCTCTCTTCTTCCTTCTTCTCCTCCTTCTCCTCCTCTTCCTCCTCCTCCTTCTTCTCCTCCTCCTCCTCCTCCTCCTCCTCCGGCTCCTCTTCCTCTTTCTCCTCTAATCCCTCCCTCGTCCTTCCTCTCCGCCCTGACCTTGCCATGAAAGGCAGGGGTCCAGAGGGAAGGGGTCCTGCGTTTGTCTGGCTGTTTGTGGCTTGCCTAGGCCCTCCATGAGCACTGGGACCGTGTCAGAAAGCGGCTCAGGAGGAAAAGCTCGCTTCAGGGACAAGCCCTGGGGGTGCTGGACACTTTCCTCTCGCGCCCTGTTTCTTTCATGCCAAAGGCTCAGAGGAGGAATAATGGCACCGATACCGATACCCCTTCCTCGTTTTCCCTGTTTTGGGCTTCCTGGGAGGCCCTCGTCGCCACCGCTGGATTTCCCTCGGAAAATTGGTCAGGACGCCCCCGCGAGAGGTCTGGGGAGCACCTGTATCGGTACCTTTCGGTACCTTGTGGTTTCCCCAGTGGCTCTGCTGCGAACTTGCCCGCGCGGTGTCTCCTGGGAGGCTCCGCAGATATAGATGCTCTTGCGACGGGGCCATGCCGAAGGCTTGCGGACGGGTGCGCCTCGGGCGGCTGGATGGGGTCGCAGGAGGATGTCTGCCCTACGGCGTAGGATTAGAAAGCCCTGGGTCTGCTAGGGACGGGTTGCCCCTCAAAGCGACGAAAACCCTTCCAGAAGCCTCCCGACACCCTCCGAAAACCCTCCTGGAACCCTTCCCAGAGGGGATTTGGGAGGGTTTCGGTTATTTTGAAAGGAAGAAAGTCCCTAGTGAACCCTGGACTTTCTAAGTGTAGGACGCAGTGCAACTTTCACCATGGCTTATTATGGCTCACCTCACCATTTAATCTCTCCCTCTCTCTCTCTCTCGCCATGGCTCCTCCAGCCCACGTGCGCCTTCCCTGGGCCGCTCTCTTCGCCAGGCCCCGAGGCTGGCCCCCCGTGCACGAGGTGAGTGGGGAATACCGCTTGCTCATACTGACAGGGCACAGCACTCCTCCTCCTCCTCCTCCTCCTTCCACTCCTCCCTCCTTCCCCCTCCTCCTCCTTCCTCCTCCTCCTCCTCCCTCCACCTCCTCCTCCTCCTCCTCCTTCCTCCTCCTCCTCCTCCTCCTCCTCCTCCCTCCCCCTCCTCCTCCTCCTCCTCCTCCTCCTTTTCCTCCTCCTCCTCCTCCTCCTCCTCCTCTTCCTCCTCCTCCTCCTCCTCCTCCTCCTCCTCCTCCTCCCTCTCGTCGTCGTCCTCCTCCTCCGTGGGCTAAGCAGGACTCTCTGACACACCGCGGCCGGTGGCGGGTCCAGGCCCGGGGGGAGGGTGGAGGTCGAGGGAGCGTTGCGTCCGTCCCCTGAAGGGTGTGAAGGCGGGGCTGTTCTCAGGAGAGCTGGCCTCCCAAGTCACCTGCGACCCCGGGAGGCCTGGTGGGACTGCCGGCGCTTTGCCGTGCCTTGGCGTCGTGCCGTGCCATGCCGTCGGGTGTTCTGCGCGGGCTCGTGCACCTGCTGTCTGTGCCCTGCTTCTGCCGGGGTGCGACCCGGTGGCGTGCGAAGAGCAGAGGCGGCAGGCCCCTTCCAGAGCACCTCTCCTGCCGCCCCTGCCGCCATCGCCGCAGTGCCTACCGGTGCCGCCGCCGCTGCTGCGTGCTGCTGCTGCGCCGCGGCAACTGCTGCTGCTGCTGCTGCTGCTGCTGCTGCTGCTGCTGCTGCTGCTGCTGCTGCTGCTACTGTTTCTACTTGAGGGCCATCTGTGCGCCACACCACTTCGAGGGACAGGGACCGGTGGCGCGCAGAATGGGGTGGGGCGACGGGGGCTGGCCTTTCGAGAGTGCCTGGGGCTTCTAAGCAAGGTCCTGCCCCCGTCTGAAAGGGTTTCAAGTAAGCCGCTTTGTTCCTCCACCATCTCCTTCTCCTGATCCCCCTCCTCCCTCCTCCCTTCTCCCTCTGCCTCCTCCCTCTTCCATCCTCCCTCTTCCCTCCTCCCTCCTCCCTTCTCCCTCCTTCCTTCTCCCTCCTCCCTCCTCCCTTCTCCCTCTGCCGCCTCCCTCTTCCATCCTCCCTCCTCCCTCCTCCCTCCTTCCTTCTGCCTCCTTCCGGCATCTCCACCGCCTCCCTCCTTTCTCCTTTCTCCGCCTCCTCCCTCCGCCTCCTCTCTCCTCCGCCTCCTCTCTTCGCCTTCGCTTCCTCCCGTATCGCGTAGGCAAGGCGCCGCCGGCGACGCCGCGGGGAGGCGAGACCGAGCGCGAGCGGAAGGCGCGCGCGGCCGCGCGAGCAAGCACGGGCGGGCGGGCGGCAGCGTCGCCAGTCCGTTCCCGACACCTACGCTCCGCGGCGGGGGAGGGCGGAGGAAGGGGGAGGGGGAGGGAAGAAGGGAGGGAGAGAGGGAGAGAAGGAGGGAGGGATGGAGGTACGGAGGAAGGGAGGGAGTGCGGGAGGGAAGGAGGGAGAGAGGGAGGGAGGGAGGGAGGGAGGGAGGAGGAGGAGGAGGAGGAGGAGGAGGAGAAGGAGGAAGGAGGAGGAGGAGGAGGATGAGGAGAGGAGGAGGAGGAGGAGGAAGAGTAGGAGGAGGGAGGAGGAGGAGGAGGAGGAGGAGGAGGACCAGTGTAAGCCCAAGAGTCATCAACAATGTTTGAGTAAGCCCTCCTTCCAAGCTCCCTCTTCCTAGGCCCCTACAACGGTTCATTTCCATTGATGGAACTGCCTTGTTGGAAGACACCCGTGTGAAGACCCCCAAGCATACCAAAACAGTGTTCTCGGGATTTCAACGGCACGGATCAACTTGACTGTTTCGTCTTGACGATCTTGAATCGTGTCAGAACGCCACTCCTAGGACTTCAACACAGAGGATCAACGTAACTGTTGCGCCCGCGTAATCCTGAACCCTTCCAAAACACCACTTCTGTGCGTTGATGATGGAAATCCGTGAAACTCTTGCAAATTGTTAAAACGAGTATCCGTGGAGCTAAGGCGAGAGCCACATTGTGAAAACGACTCGCCCTCAATCCGTGAGGCTCTTGTAAATTTTCAAAGCGAATGTGCGCGGCGCCAAGGCGAGAGCCACATTTTGGAAACCACCCGCCCTCAATCCGTGAAACTCTTGCACATTCTGAACACGAATGCGCGCGGCGCTAAGGCGAGAGCCACATTTTGAAAACCACCCGCCCTCAATCCGTGAAACTCTTGCAAATTTTGAAAGCGAATGTGCGCGGCGCTAAGGCGAGAGCCACATTTTGAAAACGACCCGCCCTCAAAGCGAATATGCGCGGCGCCAAGGCGAGAGCCACATTTTGAAAACGACCCGCCCTCCATCTGTGAACCTGTTGTCATTTTTCAGTCTCAGGCGAAACTCCTGGCCCACCCTTAAAACTGGCCTCGGGGTGCGACAGGGAGAAGTTATTCATAAGGGAAAGGAGTGAGGAGGATGATGATGAGGAGGAGGAGGAGGAGGAGGAGGAGGAGGACGAGGACGAGGAGGAGGATTCTCTGACATACGACACCTTCAACGCACGAGCAGCAAATCAGGGACGACCGAGACAGAGCCACGCCACACGCCAGGCACTGCCGGGGGCACACCCCGTGGGCGTCGGGCTCGAAGCTGAGAGGTATGACGCCCTCCCGCCCAGGGCCCGATGTCGACGGTGGCACGTTTGAGCTCAGGCTGGCGGCCCGCAGAGACCGGCTTCCGAGACCTGCTGCTGTCGACCCAGCACTCCCTTGGGGAGCACAGGCCTGCACTCCTGGCAGGGGCCTCGAGTGCGGCCTCTAGGCGAGTGCTGCTTGCAGCGGAGACATCAACAAACAAGACATGTGGCCGCTGGTGTTATCACCGGGCGCGTTCCACTACTCGCAAAGTGCCTGCTCGCCAACGTCCGAAAAACACATAGTTGCCTCGCCGTAAGGGATCGTGACTCCCCCGCGGCGGATCCAGGCCATTTGCGAGTAGCTACTTTGCGAGTAGTGGAACGCGCTTGTCCGTATTAGGAAAGAACCTCGTATGGCTCGGCCCCGTAAGCTCCTCGGGGCCTCAGCACCACGAATCCCGACCCCCCACCCTCTTCACCAGCGGATGCAAGCAGATCGAGAGCCTCGAGATCAACGAGCACTCTGCCAGACACGCCCAATCCACTGCCATTGATGGGTGGGACGGGCCTGCTTGCCTTTCAGTCAGAAGTAGGAGGAGGAGAAGACTTGGGGAAGAAGAAGACGAAGAAGAGGATGATGACGATGACGATTATCATGCTGATGCTGATGCTGCTGCTGACGACTATGATGATGCTGATAATGCTGCTGATGATGATGGTGATTATGCTGATGCTGCTGCTGCTGCTGATGATGATGCTGGTGCTACAGTTGCTGCTGCTGGTGATGATGATGTTGATGACGATGATGCTGACGATGATGATGATGCTGCTGCTGATGACGATGATGGTGATGAGGAGGAGCAGGATGATGATGATGATGCTCATGGCGATGATGATGGTGATGCAGATGATGATGCTGGTGTTGATGACGATGCTGATGGTATTACTGATGTTGATGATGATGCTGATGCTGCCGATGCTGATGACGACGATGATGGTGAGGATGGTGATGCTGACGGTGATGATGCTGATTATGACTAGGATTGTGGTGGTAACGTTGATGATAAGGATAAGGATGATGAGGATGAGGGTGATGATGATGAGGATGATGATGCTGCTGCTGATGATGACGACAATGCCGACGACGCCGACGATGATGATGAGGATGATTATGATGCTGATGCTGCTGATGATGCAGATGACGATGATGATGCAGATGCTGCTGATGCTGTTGCTGATGATGATGATGATGATGCAGATGCAGATGATGATGATAATGATGATGATGGCGATGATGGTGCTGCTGCTGATGATGATGATGATGATGATGATGACGACGACGACGACGATGATGATGATGATGATGATGATGATGATGATGATGATGATGATGATGATGATGATGATGATGATGATGATGATGATGATCATGATGATAGGAGCGCGTGCACTGGCATGGGGAGAGAGAGCAGCTTGTCGCCGTCCACGCTTGTTCAGCCTTTGCTCTTTGCTCCGCTCTGCAGTCTTTTTGGCTCACAGGGTTGAGCCTGCGACCTTCGGCCTGGGCATCTTATGGCTGGAGGGCCCCTCCAGAAGCTGCTGCTGTTGGCGGGCCACGAGGCACTGACTTACTGGCTTCTGCGCCCCGCGTCGCCTGTGGAGCCCGCGTGTCCTGCCTGCGAGTGCGTGTGTCCCGCGGCGATCGAGCTGCCGTGCCCGCTGCCCAAGGTGGAGAGGGCGCCTGGCGGCTCGCCCTGGCATTCGGTGCTGCAGGCTGTCGGCGCGGGGGTGGCAGGACAGCTCGTGGGGCGCGGTCTCTGGGAGTGTGGTCGGCGGGCCTGCTCCTGCTGCGGTCGCTTCCGACGCAATGGCGATCGCGCCGCTCGCCGCCGCGGACTCGGAGTTCTGGAGGACTCTGATGCCGGGGTCTCGTCTGCCGGCATGGTGCGCCGACGACAGCGTCTGGCACGAGAGGCTGGCAGCCTGGCCGATTAGCGGACCTCACTGGGTGCTCCAGACTCCCGACAAGGACCTCTACCCGGAGTACTTGGACGGGTCGGACCCCGAGGGCCTCGAGCGGGCGATTCCCTTGCTGGTGGACGGGAGGCTCCCTCGGCTGGGGGCTCAGGCGTATCGGTTCCCGCAGCCCCCGACCGAGGGCGAGCTGAAGGGCGTGATCCGTGAGGGTGCTGCACAAGCCGAGGGGATCACGCGGACAGCTGGTCTGGAGCTGCAGCGGCCCAAGCGGGTGATGGTGCGCTTCGGAGAGGTCAAGGGGCTGGGCGAGTTCTTTGGCGGGAGCTTTCTTCCACGCCGCCTCACTCGCCGCCCCGCGGCCTCGGGCTCGGCTGCCATAGGCGACGAGGCTCCCGAGGTGTTCCCTGCGCGCGGGCCTGGGCCGCCCATCGGCGGGCCTGTGTGGGTGCTGGCCGAGCCGTCCGTGATTGGGGCGGTGGGCTCCATCGTGGCGCTCGAGGCGAAGGACGTGCGAGTGGACAAGTGCGATGCGTTGGTGGACCGCGGGGGCGGCTATCGTCGGGTAACCTGCATTCGATCGGACCTCGTCCCGCAGTTCGTGGCCGACTGGTGTGGCACGGCGCGTGCGGAGCTGCCGGTGGCTGGCCAGGATCAGCCGGAGGCGGGCCGCGCGCCGACCATCCTGGGGGAGGGCGCTGCTGAGCCTGGGGCGCCAGCCTCCGCCGCCGACGGCGGCGATGCTCGGACGCTCTGGCTGGACTACGACGAGCAGGGTGGCAGACACAAGGACTTTCGCAAGTGCTGCCAGGAGTCTCACGGCGTGGTCGACCCCGACTTCCCGCTGCAAGGGCCCGCGACCGTGCTCACGGTGATGCGCCACATGGAGCGGCACGGGGGCAACCCGCGCTTGTGGCTCGCCATCTGGGCTCGAGAGAGGCGCATCGAGGACACCGATCGCGTGACGCACGAGATGCGGTGTCTCATCGACATCCTCTTCCTCGGGGCCACCTACGACCAGATCAACCTGCCAGCGTTGGCGAGCATGGAGGTGGCCGTCCGTCGGATTCAGACGATCATCGACGCGTACCAGGTGACGGGCAAGGCGCCGAACTGGCAGCTCGCGCGCTACATCTCGGGAGCTACGGCAGCGGTCGACGCCATCTCGCCCGAGATGCGCCAGTACGTGGCCAGGAGGGCGAAGGAGGGCGCGGACATCGCTGCAGGCGCTCAGCGGGCTCGCACGCTCCAACCGAGTCCCGGCGAAGAGGAGGCTCCGGAGGGGAGCGCAGGAGGAGGATCCCGGGGGAGGGGCGGCCGAGGCCGCGGCGGTGGCGCTGAGGGCCGCGGCCGTGGCAGTGGCGCCCCCCCCGGGGCCCAATGACCGCCCGTGAGCACGGCGGGGGGAATGGGCCCCCTCCCGCCGAGACGTTTTGGCCCACGTCGGCTGCCTTACCGCCGGGGCGGGGCTCGCGCCTGCTCTTCCCGATCCCCTTGGTGGCGGAGGGCGTCTTCAGCCGACATCACCGTGAGCGACGTGGACCTCGTGGGCAGCGGCATATCTTCGTGGTCGTGAACCGTGCGATCCGGGCGCTTAACTGGCTGGAGGGACTCGAGAGCAGCACTTCATTGCATCGGTGCGAGTTCACTGGCATGCATGATGAGGTCGTGGCGCGCATCGAGGGCCTGGTCAGATCCCAGGAGCCGACAGCTGACGCACCCTCTCCGAGATCGTCGTTTTTGGAGATGATCCGTGGCGTTTCACTGTATGAGGAATGCCAATCGAACATTGCCCCCTTCCAGTTGCGCCTCGTGTCACTGCCGACCGACGTCTCCACGGCGCCGTCCGTGTGCGACCTGGTCGACCAGCAGGGGCGCCTTTTCCTCGAGGGTTGTGGAGAGCGTATGCTACGTGACATCAGCGACTTCGTGGACTTGCGGCAGCGGGAGCCCGTCAAGCACCTTCGGTTCATCCGACGCCTACACGGTATAGGCATGCTCCGGTACACCGCGCGACCCATCGACTTCATCGGGTCCTTCTTCGTCTGGAAGAAGGGTAGGACCAAGCACAGACTCGTGTTGGACGGTCGAGCAGCCAACCAGCGCTTCGCCCAGCCACCTCACGTCGACTTGCTGACCGCGGAGGGCCTGGCCTCCATCGAGGTTTTCGTGGACGAGGACCCCGAGCTGACCAGCGACCTCGGCCGCGGCGCTCTTCGTGCACTTCGCATTGCCCTCGGCGTCGCAGACGTGGAGAACTGTTTCCACCGCATGATCATGCCCCCGTGGATGAGCCGCATGTTCTGCTACGAGCCCGTGCTCGCCGCGGAGGTCGATCCCGCAGGGCTACCTCTGGTCGAGGGCGACGTGGCCTCAGGGAGCACCCAGGTGTGGCCCGCCGCGCGCCCTGCCGATGGGCTTTGCTTGGAGCCTCTACTTCTGCCAGAACGCCAACACCAGACTCTCGGGCAGCGCGCCGCTCCTTCACCGCGCCCGCCTGTTGTCGGATCGCGGGGAGTCGGCCGTGTTCGAGACAGGCGCCCCCGTGACGGACCTGGCGGTGCGTCTACGTGGACAACCTCGGGGTCCTGGGCAGGGGCGCCGACACGGTGGGCGCCGCCCTCTCTGAGCAGGTGCAGGTCTTTAGCGAGAACGGGTTGGACATCCGCGAAGTCGAGCTCTTCACCGAGAAGGGCTCCGCGCTGGGAGTTGACCTCGATGGCTCGCGTCTTTCGACCCTCCTCACGTCGAAGCGCCGGTGCAGGATCGAGAAGGGGCTGCTCTGCCTCCTCCAGCGTGGGCGAGCCAGCGGGCAGATGGTGGAGAGCATCCTCGGGCACTGTACCTACGCCGCCCTGATCAAGAGAGAGACCATGGCTGTTTTCGCGGCTTCGTACGCTTTCGTGCACGCCACTTACACATAGGACATCGAGCTTTGGGACTCGGTCAAGGCAGAGTTCGGTGCTTTCTTGGGGCTGTTGGTGTTCATGCAGAGCGACTGGTGGCCGCCGTGGAACAGGGGCGTCACTGCGTCGGACGCGCCCCCCGAGGGCTTCGGCATCGTGAGCTCGCGCTGGTCACCCCGTGATGTGGCGAGTGTCGGGCGAGTCCGAGAGCGAGGTCGTTTCCGCCGCGGGGGGCCGGTTGCCCCCCGGGACTCCGCTATGACAGCCGCTGGGTTCGTGCTCGAGGACGGCGTCTGGCGGCCGCGCGCGGAGGAGGAGCTGGAGGAGGGCTGGTCCATCGTGGAGGGCTTTCCCGAGGTGCCGGCTCGCCTCCTCCATCCTGAGGGTTGGCGAGTGTGCCGCGCCGGTACGTGGGGGCGCCAGGGGCACGTCGCTTTGCTGTAGGCTCGCGCGCTGCTGGCCTCCGTGCGGCGGCTTGCCCAGGTGGCCGTCGGCGGCAACCGCAGGCACCTCCGCCTCTGCGACAACATTGGCGTCGTGCTGGCTGTGAGTCGGTGCCGCTGCCGGGAGTTCGTGCTGCTGACCGTCCCGCGCAAGCTCACTGGATTCCTGCTGGCTCGCAATATTAAGCTTCACGTGGGGTGGGTTCCCAGCGAGCTCGATTTCGGTGACGAGCCGTCCCGTATCTTTTCAGTGAAAGCATCATCGTCTCTTGCCTGGGTCATTCCCGACTTTGTGCGCCGGGCGCCGCCGCCGCAGGCCCGAGCTGATGAGTGCCGGGCGGAAGCGCCAGCGGACCCTTGCCGCGCAGGCGCCGGCGTATGTGGGCGACCAGGGCGCGGGGCCGGCGTCTGGGAGGAGGACGAGGACGCTGGCAGCGGCAAGGCCGCGGCTGCAGGGCCGCGCGGCCGCGCAGAGAGGGCCTCTGAGGACGCAGCTCTCGCCGCGCGTGCCGCTAGAGGAGCTGCTGCTACCGAGTCCGCCCCGTCGCCAGACCCTCGAGGAGTGGGCCGAGCAGGTCGTGCGCGAGGGGAAAGGCGACTACGTCGAGAAGCGCGTCACTCGGAGGCAGCGCACCTCGAGCTCCTCCAGCACTGGGCCCGCGTCCGAGGGCCCCGGTCGGGCCGCCCGGCGAGAGAGGGCGCTGGCCACGCGCTCGAGGCGGCGGCTCTGGAACTACCTCGAGGAGAAGTTCAGGGCCGTGGGCGACGGGATCACTCTGCTCGAGAAGCGGGCCGTCTCGGACAAGGTCCATCTCGAGTGCACCTTGGAGGTGGCGGCTTTCAAGACTTTTGCAGCGGCGCGGGGCCTGAACGTGGAGCACGCCGAGGCCGACGCCTTGGACGCCGCTTTCGGGTCATACCCCGAGACGTGCTTCTTCAAGGGCTTGCAGCCGTCCGCTGGGGCGAAGGCGCTGGCGGGCTGGATCCACTTCCACCCGGCCTACGGGCGCAGGGGCTCTCTGAAGCTGCCCCGCGCCTGGGGGGCGCTGCAGGGCTGGCAGAAGCTGTGCCCAGGGCGCCCCCGCAGGCCGGAGGGGCTGGGCGTGTGGTATGGGCTCGCGAACGCCATGTGCCATCTCAGCCGCCCTCGGATGGCCGTGTTCGTGATCATGGCCGTCTCGACCTACCTCGGGCCAGGCGCGTTGCTGACGGTGCAGGGCAGCGATCTCATCCCACCAGCGCAGGGCGTGACCCGGCACTGGGCGGTGCTCGTGCACCCGCAGGAGCGTTTGGGGCGCAGCACGACTGGAGAGTCAGATGTGTCGATCCTGCTGGACAGCGATTTGACGAAGGAGCTGAACCCGCTGTGGAAGCGTCTTCGAGCTGTGGCGGGAGGGGGGCCGCTGTGGGACTTGGACTACGGAGAGTACCTGCGCACCTTCCGCCAGGCGGCGCGGCTGATCGGAGCGCCCGACCTCGTGCCTTACCAGACGCGGCACAGCGGGCCGAGCGTGGACAGAGCGCGAGGCTCGCGCTCCCTTTTAGAGGTGCAGAAGCGGGGCCAGTGGAAGTCGAACAAGAGTGTGGCTCGTTACGAGAAGCACGTCAGGCTGTCCGACTCTTTTCACCGCCACTCGGCCGCGCTTCAGGCGTACTTTCGAGAGTGCGAGCTTCGCGGCGCGGAGATCGTCCTCCACGCGCGGCTCGTGCCTCGCCCACGTTCGGAGCGCAGCTGATGCAGGACACTTACGTTGCAGACACCTTCGCTGCCCAGGGCGGAGTCGCCAGAGCCTTGCGACGGCTCGGCTTCCAGGCACGGACCTGGGAGATCGCGCATGGAGAGCACGGCGACCTCACCT